GGGTGCTTCTTTGGATGATTGTGTGATTTTTGTGATGATTTTGTGAGTGATGAATGTGATCATGTACGGTGTATGGTGTATGGTGTGTGGTGAATGTGGTGAATGTGTAATGGTGATGTGAATGTATGGTGAGGAGGGATTGTGAGGATTTGGATTTTGTAGATGTGAGATTTGGATTTGTGAAGGGGATCTGAGAAAGGGGGAGGGAGTATGGAGTATGGAGTATGGGGATGAGAGGAGGTTGGGATGGGGTGGGAGAGACGTGGGAGGATCTGGAATGATGGGATGAGGATGAAGCTAGTATAGGAGACAGAGGGAATTGATATTATAGATTAATGAGATGGGGTAATAAATAGATAAATAATTTGGTTTTATTGTTGGGATTTGGATATTATAGGAGAATGGTGAGTAGTAAATAATGAGTGGTGAGTGGTAGGTGATGGGGTTAGAATAGAGGGTATGAGTGTTACGTTGTAACATTATAACTATTATCACGTGTTATAGGATCACATGAATAGTCTTGTGAGGGAGCGAGGGAGCGAAGGAGCGAGATTCGAATCTCGCTCCTCAGCTCCATCGCTCCAATGTTGGAATACGAAGGTCTATATAATCAAGATGGATTCCCTTTGTATAGAGCTTCGTGCTCAAGATCAAGATCAATCATTTAGTATACTCTACTATTAGTTACGAATTGCATTATTGTCATTACTTTAAGTCCCTGCTTGACGCCTAGTTATAAACCACCTCGAGAGCCTAGAGCACTTCCACGTGATCTAGACGGCAAACCTCGTAACATTAAAACACTAGACTTATTAACTTTATAGAACATATTTATTATACGATTGATTTATGATAAACAAACTTAAGTCTTCTTCTGTTCTAGTTTATATTTACATGACGTTTTCTTTTTGTGTCTTTTCTTCTGTTAATTCTCACGATTGTCACATATCTACGTGTTATAGTCAAGTATGGTGGTGTCGAAGGAAGAGTTCCTTCACCTTATTTGTTTATAAGTAATTACTTATTACTGATATCATTTTTGTAGAATCTCTCAAAGATTCTTCCTCTCTTATATCAGTATCTCTGGTATCTTCAAAATCTCCTCTATTCTCTCTATTCCCTTACTCAAATCTACCACATAATCTCAGCATTAACAACAGGAGGAGGTTCATCACCCTCCTTGTATTCCTTCTGCAAAGGACAAGGTCTTTTATGCCACGCCCTGACAAACCTTCTCGCCTCCGCTCTATCCATAAATGATAATATATACCTTGCGCTTGTATTATAAGCCTTTTGTCTTCCAATACTATTTTCCCCTCGATAGCCCGTTTCGGATCCGGCATTTATTTTTTCGCCAACCCGAATGATGGCCCCTTCGCGAGCGAAACGCCAATGCAGGTTACGACGTTTTCCATCTGTTTCAAGAATTTCTCGGAGACCCCAAGAACTAAGACCTACGGATGTGATGGTAATGGTGAAGAGGACGGTATCTTGAGCTTGAGATTGAGAGCGAGAGTTTGTAAGGGTGAGTGGGGAACCAGTTGTTAAGAGAGTAGTTATGGCTGGACGGTAAGGTTTTTGAAGGAGGCGGAGAGAAAGACGAGTGTAAGGAGGGACGAGGGTGAAATTCCGCAGCAGCGATTCAAGTTCTTTGGGTGAATGGGGAAGGTTTGATGGGGGTCGATTGGAATTTGAGGGAAATGCATCTGGAAAAGGAATGATCTTGGGTTGGTAGTTTCGAGACAGGGCGTGCAGTTCGATGGTACGATGAAAATAGGCAAGGGCTGCAGCGCGCGAGGAGAAGAGTATGAAGTAGTGACCTAGAGCTTCTAGGGTTTGAGGATCGCGACCGGGAATTACTAGTTGAGTAGTTAGTTAAGCTTGCAAGTTTGTACATATATCAATGGACATAGATTAAAGTAAAGGGATAGAGAAGAAACAACTTACTCTTAATAATCCCACTAGTCCATCCCTCAATATGTTCACCCCTTGGACTCAACCTAAAAAAATCACTCTCCTCCAACGTCTTACTAGCACAATTCAAAATCAAAACACTAGCCTCCAGTCTCTGGACCGCATCTTCTTCCTCTCTTCCCCTTTCTTTTCCAAGCAAATTCCAATCCTTCCTCTCCTTCTCTGCAGCTCGTCGTCGCACTTCGGCTTCATCGAATGTCTCAATATTAGATGTCCAGTCAAAGGTAGGTAATTTTGGAAATCTTGAAGGTGAAGGATGTTTGAGGTGTTTTGATGGGGTTGCATATCGAGGAGGTCTTTGTTGTTCCTCGGGGAAGAGCTCTTCAAAGAGAGATGTGGGTGGCTTTATAGGGGGAGTAAGATCGAGACGTCGGGCTCCAAAGAGAGATTCACCTCGTGGTTTCGGGGGATCTCCATTGTTCTTGCGAGATTTTTGGTATATGTGACGGCGTTGGAAGAGACATTGCAGTTGGCAAGTGGTCCATGACGGGGTAAGGAATGACGGGGGTAGTGAACGGGGGGAGGGCATTGGTGATAATGAGGGGATTAATGTAGGAGGGGTCAAGGCTGCGGGAATGGGGAAAATTAATTGGCCTTACGGATTTATTTTAGTTCACCGCCTTTACATTCGAAGATTAGGATTAGTTTGATGGCAGAACTAAAGCTGTGATACAACGTTGATACAAATTTCAAGCATGCACCCATGTTCCTTGGCAAGGCTAATGATAATTTTATTTACTTCTGCCCCTCCATTATCGATGAGCTTTTTTTTTTTTTTTTTCCCCTCCTTTATTTACTTTCTCCAAATCGAGGAAGTCGATATTTTGATTATTTGATTGTTTTGATATTATTGGAAACATTCAAATAACAGGTCAATATGGCACCTGAATCTAAAATTCTGGAATTAAAAGTCCGCCCATATCAGCACATCTCAGAAAGACCGGATTTCAAAACGTAGCACGTGTGTATGTTTGCACAGATGTTCTTTTAGATTTTCAAATCAAAAATGGGGAAACATGCTATCTATGGAAGAGCTCTGAGGGGGAACATACAAGACGAGAGGCGGTGATTTGGTTGGCCGCGGAAAAGTTAAGTAGGAAAGTAGTCCAAGTCAGTAAGGCTTTCCAGGAGGCATGCGGGTTTAAATTGAGTGATGATGTGATCATTGCTAGAGCAGGAAAGTTGGAGGTTGCAAAGGATATTCTGATTAAGGATGTCGGTATGATTGAAGGGGTTATGCGAGAGTTGAGCGGGGATGTTAGAATTGGTTGGCGGTGTATTTTGGAGGATCTTTTTGGTAGGATTTTCTTCTTTTGTTTCCTCTCTTTCATTTTCCACTTTCAAAAGGACGAGGGTCGCTGTTTTCATGTTTACTACGAGTTCAGTGCAGAGCTGACGAGATTGCAGCTCGTGCTGAGTTGATTTACCCTGGCATGACATTTAGAGATGTGATGTACAGAAGAGAAAAGCGAACTTTTGAAGTTTTCTCCATAGATGGATCGAAATCTGGTGTTGCCAGCTTTTTTGATGATGGGTCATCTTCTGTTAAGATTGCAACAATTGCTGAAATCAGTGGAGCCGTATTGGCCGCAAGCAATGTTGAGCAAAAACCTCTTCAGGTTGTTGATATTGCTGGCATCGATCAAGCTCTCGGAAAACTGAACAAATTCCTGAGTAATTTCAACCGTCAATTTTATTTCACCAAAGTTCGTAGGTCACCTGCTGTTCTTCTACATGGTGGAAGGGGAACGGGCAAAACCTTTGTCCTAGACAAACTCGCCAGTACAGAATGGGGCAAAGTTCGCAAAATTGATCGTAAAACTAAACCTTCGGAAGTCCAGAAGATTTTCAAGGATTCAAAGATTAACCAGCCAAGTATTATAATCATAGATGATCTTGAATCTGTGGTTACAAAGGGTGGTGAACCACTGTTGGATATGACAGAGGCTATTTGTGAAGGGTTTGAAGATCTTGCTAAAGATGAGCCTCCAAACTCTTTACCACAAGTCGTCGTGGCGGCGGCAACATCTGATATGCTTAAAATACCTGCCTCATTACGAAAGCGAGGTAGGTTCACTACAGCTATTTCTCTACCAGTTCCAGACGCAGCTGCCAGGAAAGCTATTCTCAAGTCTCTCAATCCTCAAATGTGCCCTGAAACCCAGGATGAGATTCTTCATGATCTTGGAGAACGAACACATGCATATACACCAGAAGATCTCGCCCTTCTGTTAGATGAAGCACACATTTTTGCGGAAGATAAGTTAGATGCAGAGAACTTGCCGGAGCAGAAATTCATCGTTAAAGAGGATATCGAGCATGCTCTCTTGGAAGTAAGGCCAAGTGCAATGCATGATATTACTTTGCGGCCACCCAAGGTTAAATGGAGTGACATTGGAGGACAAGATAAAGTCAAAGAGGCTATTCAACTTGCAATCGAGACACCTTTCCATGTAAGTTCTTTTCTATTTGACTGCTTTACGTTTTTAATACAAAGTACTAACAATATTCCAGTACCAAGAGATCATGCAAGATTTTGGCCGTTCCCCAACAAAAGGTCTTCTTCTCTATGGACCTCCTGGATGTTCCAAAACACTCACCGCCCAAGCTGTTGCCACTGAAATGGGTTTCAACTTCTTTGCTGTTAAAGGTGCCGAACTTCTCTCTAAATATGTTGGTGACTCCGAACGAGCTGTTCGAAATATATTTTCCCGTGCACGTGCTGCAGCTCCAAGTATTATTTTCTTTGATGAAATCGAATCCATTGGTGGGAAGAGAGATGGTAAAAATTCGAATAATGGAGTCAACGTTCTTACTACTTTACTCAATGAAATGGATGGAATTGAGAGTTTAAAGGGTGTTACAGTACTTGCCGCAACCAATAAACCTCAAGATCTTGACTTAGCACTTCTTCGACCTGGTCGATTTGATGAACTTATCTATGTTGCACCACCTGACCTTGCTGGTCGGGAAGCCATCATTCGTGCTAGACAGCGCGAATCTACTATGGCAAAAGACGTTGATATAGCCGAACTTGCTCGTCTAACAGAGGGATATTCTGGAGCGGAAATGGTAAGTATCTGTCAAAAAGCCTTTGATGCGGCTATTGAAAGGCGTAAAAAGAATGCGACGATGGAACCGGCAGTGATGAATGACTTTTTGATGGCAATGCCGAAGATCAAGAGACAGATAACTCCGGATATGTTGGAGGAGTTTGAGAGATGGGCCAGGGGAGAATAGTCTAGACTCTAGAATTGCTATTGGGAATGTACGGTACAATTTCTAGTGGAATAATGAGATAGTTACGGAATGTGAAAGTACACATGTAAAGCTTACCATGAGAATATTGTGATTTTTTCGAGCCATAGTCGGCAATGGGCATTTATCTATTGAGGAGTTTCATCTTAGATCTTCTAATTATAATCATGAGGATACAATCCAGGATGAATCACAGGGAATTTCTGAATTTCTAGTGGCATCTTTTCTGGGATGTTGGGGTTTGTTTTTGAGGTAGGATTGGGGATTTGAGGTGATGAATTGGGAGAGTTGAAGATTGTAGAGGGTTGTAGTGAGTGGTTAGACTGGTGGATTGAGATGTAGGTCAGGATATTTGGGGTTTCAAGTTTTGAACTGGGCTGCGAATTTATCTGTACGTGTATGAACTGGGAAGGTTGTGGTGTGATGGTATGATGGCGTGGTGGTTGGATTTGGAGTACTGGGTAGGTAGGTAGGAAGGTAGGGGTTTGTGGCACGTCGAATATCATATCTGGTGGATTGGCTGATTACTGTTAATTAAGTGATTATTATTGTTACACAAGTGTAACATGTTATATGTACGAGGAAGTTTTGGGAGGTTTTGGGAGGTTTTGTGTTTTAGTTAGATAGGTAGGTAGGTATTCGAGTGGGTAATTAGTACTACCGTACTCGTACTTATTTTTACGATGAAGCTTAAAGTTTAAGTAATCTTACTGAACTTGTGTGGATTTATAGTTTAATCATCAAGATTAAGTCATGAAATAACCTAAATGATGTTACATATACCTTCCTCTCCCAATTTCCCTCATCCATTTCCTCTAATCAGGACGATACTATACGAAACGATACGATAAAAGCCCAACAATAACATTATAATATTCACACCCCTGGTCGCATATCAAGCCCCCTTAATAGTCTTATATAAACATTCAAGTCGTTTATTTAAAATATGAGGTAAGGGTAATAATAATAGTATTAAACTTAACCACAACAAAAGGTTACGTCATACATTACTCGCACTTCTAGCGTACATATTCGCGTAACCGTCCGGAGTACGTACCTGGCTATAACCTTACCAATCATGGTAGTTGTTTTTGTACGTATTGGCATTACATCACTGCATTTATTAAATGGGAGAAATGTGCATAATTTGCGTAATTTGATGAGATGTATGAGCATATGAAGATGGAATGGGATGGGATGGGGATTGTTATATATTGCTTACTTGTTGGTGATATGATGAGGAATGTGAATAAAGAACGCGAGAACAATAATTTTGTTTATTTGAATTATTGTGTGGAGAATTTACTACGTGGGTGAATTAAGTTGATTCTGATATTCATCTCGATATCGATTTTTGATTTTCAGAAAGATACCTCTGGAAGGAAATATTCAACTGGATCGAGCACGGAAATCAAAGTCAAGATCAAAATTAAAATCAAGAAAGAAAAAGGAAAGGAAAGAAGATTAAGAAAACATGGCTCCAGCAATTGTAGATGAGAAGAATGGAAGGAGTCCTGGGTTTCAGACGATGATTAGAGAGTGTCCGGTTACGGAAGAGAGGATGCCGTTTGTTGAGAGGGGTGAGGAGAAGAGATTGAGGGATCCGGGTGGGTTCTCTTGTTTTCTTTTGATTTTTTGGTTTGGATTTTGGTGTAATGGGAGGAGACGAGAGGAGAGGATGCAGATGAGGAGTTGGGGATCTGGGTATTTGAGCGTGGATTGGGAGAAGTGATATAATTACTTAGAGTTTTACTAATTTGAGAATATAATAGGAATTGCGAGAGCAAATCAAGCAGCATCTGTTGAAGCACCATATGGAACACAGAAAGACAATTATGTTCACCGCAATAGACATCTTACAGTTCGTATCCTCCTTTCATTTCCCCTTCCCTCTTCATCCTCACCATTCCTCATCTCCTCACCTCACCCCACTAACACCCCCCAGGTCCTCCAACAACACATCTCCTTCTTCGACCCCGATTCCGACGGCATAATCTGGCCCCAAGACACCTACACCGGTTTCCGACGTCTAACCTACAACCCCTTCCTCGCGCTCCTCGCCGTCCTAATTATCCACGCCAATTTCTCCTACCCTACTCTCCCCCCGGACTCCTGGATCCCAGATCTCTTCTTCCGGATCTGGACAGATAGGATTCATAAAGATAAACATGGGAGTGATACCGGAACGTACGATCATGAGGGGAGATTTATCCCCCAGAGATTCGAGGAGATTTTTACTAAGTATGCGAGGGATGGGGATGGGGAGTCGATTTCTTTGAGGGAGGTGTGGGGCGTTATGAGGGGTCAGAGGTGTATTGCGGATCCGATTGGGTGGGGAGGTGCGCTTTTTGAATGTGAGTTTATTTGTGCTTTTTTGTTTGTTGGGACGAGGGGAGGAAGAAAGGTGAGGAATTAGTGCTAATAGTTATTAGGGATCGCGACGTGGCTTTTGTTATGGCCGGAAGATGGGAGGATGAAGAAAGAAGATATCAGGAGGATTTATGATGGGAGTCTTTTTTATGAGATTGCTGCTAGGAATGAGAGGAAGAAGTTTAGTTAAGTGGTGGGGTTTGTTCTTGAGGGTTTCGGAAATAAGGGAATAGGTTTAACACGTACGGGTTTGGGGATAGGAATATGCTGTATTTAGATAATGAATATGCTTGACTTCAAGTTGAATGAGACTACTTTTGCTCTTTTACTTGTAGAGATTGCGGATATCTTGAGTGGTTATTTTCATTTATATATTAATATCGTTTATTTTTCATGCTCCTTCTTTTCATTCTCCTTCTCATTCTCCTCATACTTTATCCTATCATCTTTTTTCATCCCCTTCGCTTCGATCTTCAATCCACTTTCCACCTTATGGGTCCCCAATCGCTCCCGATGTCTCAAAACACTCAACCTCTTCTGCTCCTCCTGCTTCCTCATCAAATTCTGATGTTCAATCCTCTTCTTCTCCTTCTTCTCCTCCTTCAACTTTTGGCTATTTTTCCCCGCCCGGTATCTTGGATAAGAGAAATCCGCCATTCTCCGCCCTTTCTTGCTCTTCTCTCTTCTCCCTCTTCTCTTTATGTTGTCGGAGTAATTCTTGATGGGCTTCACGTCTTTGACGCATTTCTTGCGCTTTTCGGACTATGTCCTTCATGTCGATAGTTCTTTGCAGGGCTTTTTCTTCTGCCTGTAGCCCTTTCATCTCTTTGCTTTTTCGGTAAACCTCGGAGTGCTGTGAGGACTTGGATTTTTCTTTTGGGGATGCTTGAACTTTGTTCTCTGGAGTGGGTGCTTTTTCCTGAGTCACGTTGGCGGTCTTGGAATTTTCGGATGCATTCTCGTCTTCGATCTCACGAGCATGATTGAGCAACTTCTCGTTCTTGATAATTTCAATGTCGTTGGATATTTCTTGGGTTTCTTGTTCTTCAACCTCTTTGTGTATCGTAGCTTGTCTGTCGCAAAATTCGGCCATGAGGATATCGATAGCACTTAGACCGGGGCGATCATGTGTGGTCCAGTGGATGAATACTTTGTTGTAGATCTAGGGGATGTTAGATGACTGGAAAAAGTAAGAGGAGATGTAACAGACGCACGTTAACCCATTCTGGGTGATGCTTTTCTTGTTTGCATTTTGCTGCTATTGCGTTCATGAAGTTCTGAGGGTTAAGTGTTGTGTAAGTGATGTTGCTAACTTTTGGTTTCTCTTACCGGGTTGGAGGTAGATTGACGGAAAGTAGGTAGTGGAAATTTCGTAGTTCTCTTCGGAGAAGGTTTCAAGGGGTTTATTAGATGACTACTTATCATCCTAACTTTCCTCTAAAGCTGATCTTCACACAGAACTCCAGCAAGCCCAATCAAACTCTCTATATTTAAACCCTCAAATATATATCCAGATGCAGCATTTCCAGCACTCAAAAATAACAAGAAAAAACTAACCCAGGTATCCTTAAACCCGTTGAACTTAAAAATCCTCCTCATCCCCATCCCATCAGAGGTCAAAACCCATTTCCCACCATTTTCCTTCAGAAGTGGTGCAAGTGATTCCTGTAACATGAAATGAGAGAGATTGGAATAGTGTTCTAATTTTCTGGAGGGTATCCATTTTGGTAGTTGAGAAGAGTGAGAAGTGGTGTTCGCAACAGGAGATAATATGGATTCTGGGGGTGCTTTCTCCTTTGGTCGGGTATGTGCTCCTGAGATGGTATTTTCTTCCAGAGTGGCCTCTTCTTTCAAAGAGCACTTTTCTCTCGAAGAATCTTTGACTGGGGGAAGCTGTAAACGGCGTACTTGGTATGCTGCATTAGATGGTAAAAGATTCGGAAAAGTTTTGTAGCGAGATGTGAGCGTTGGGAAGGAGTTTAGTGGAGCTCGGAGGATGTGACGTATGGAGAGATTCATGATTATCTTGGGAGAAGGGGGTGAATAAACTTGGAAGTGAGATGGTGCGAGTGGAAACCAGGGTTGTTGGATGGGGGATGGTCACGAGATAGACTACGAATCTAAGTCACGTGATATGACCTTTTTTTCTAAGCTAGATGCTTGATTTTGCTCGGGGCTTGAGAGATCCTTTCCATGGCTTTTATAACTGTTTTGCATTAGGAATAGAAAGTTATATTCCATGTATTTACTCATCATTCTGCTCTTCAATCATTATGTCTCGAAATCGAAATCGAGATCGGGATCGATCGGGATGAAAAAGTTGTACTATACTCGCTTATCTGCTACAAGTTGATGGACGACGCTTGACATCAGCAATGGTATTGGTCTCCTCTTAAGACTTCCAAGTTCCCACCACCCAATCTTTTAGTTTTGAACACTGTTTCTTCTTTTCATGCATATACTTTTAATTTTTCCATATAGAACGTCTTGATTCTTTTCTTCTCAGTGAAATACTTCAAGCTATTCATTTGGACATAATTATTAACTAATTTATTCCTTTCTAGATATTCAATTCTCAACTCATCCTCTTTTTAATTAACATCTACCTCGAGTCAGTCTTACTATTTACCCAACTCACTCAACCCCACATTCCCATACAACTTCCTCAATCATGGATGTTAAGAAGCAAAAGGTCTCATTTTCGGGGGAAGACTCCAGATTTGAAGTGACAATTACTCGAAGGCATAGTATCACTGACATATCTTCGGAAGCTATATGGTGGAGAAGCGGAGAATCATTTGCGGGTAGATCTCAAATTACTCGCAGAAATAGTATTGTCGCCTCCCAGGACTTACCCTCGAAAGCTGTATTGTCGAGAAGGGAAGAATCGTTTGGGAAAAAATCTCAAATTCCTCTGCTTCATCTCACAATTCCTCCAATTCAGAACGATGCACTGCCGAAGACAAGAACAGAGATAGAGGGTGCAAATTTACAAGAATGGAGATGCGAAAAGGCTTCTTTATTGGGTGTTCCTCCTGAGATTCGAGAGATAATCTATGGCTACATATTCCCATCCAGATTTTATCTGGCGCCTTATTGTAAGGCCCTACAAGAAATATCTTGGAAATTTGATCTTGAGCCAATTTTATATGCATATGGGCGATCCTCATATGACACGATGAATTTATCTTTTCCGAATTGTCAGGCTTTTGGTGCATCTTTCTTGAGAGTTCATCCGCGAATCTACCAGGAAGCTAGACAACTTTTCTGGAAACGTGCCACCCTTGTTCTGCCGACCCCCTTTCGTGCAATCGATGCACTTAAATCCATCACTCAAGATTCCATCAAACATATCACGCATATCGAGCTTCATGTAAGATCCTTCGACTTTCAATACTGGGAATTTTCAGGCTTTTGTACCGCAATTTCAATGATGAACTCACTAGCTCGACACGGACAATTACAAGAAATAAATCTAGTGTTAGAGCATGTCATGCTTGACTTCAATATGCGTGATCTACTGAGAAACCGTGTCTCCGAGAGGGCGCACGGATTCTATGGCACTTTGATATTTTTATGTAGTCTACAAACTTGGAGATGTCATAGAGGTATGAGAATTACTGGTGGCTCGAGTTATGAGGAGGTACTGAAGAACATTCCTAAGAAATCTCCTTTGGACGTTCAGAATTTAATGTATGTTGTTGGGAAACTACATGCGGCTTGGGGTGGAACATTTTATGTAGGGGATACAATGGCCTGGAAGGATGGCCGTCATGTTTATAGAGCCCCCAGCCAAGCAATCTCTGAGTCAGTAGCAAGTTAAGGTGGACTTCGTGGTGGATATTTGACCTAGAGGATGCAACAGCTTGGGAGAATGTTTGTAATGACTTACGAACCTTCATTCCGACCACAGTTGAATCCTTCAGATTATATTACAGGTCAAATCCAGAGATCTGATCTGAGAAAAAATCCCTACTTGGATTATTCTTCTCCATCGGAACTCTTTAGCTATGAACGACGCAATCCTAACCTTCCTTGTCTCCCCGGCAAATGGTGTAAGCTGAAATTGCTAAGCAAAACCATAAATGCATTCAGCAACGGCAATGGAAGAAGGGCTGCATTGTTTGATTCGTCAAAACTTGTGCCTTTTCTATAATGGCTTGACTGGATTTCGTGATCGTCATCGAAGCCGAAAAGATAAATCTACTTGACTCTCGACATGGAGTTTGATTCACAAACAAAATTTTTTCTCCGGCTGCAAAGTTGACGAATCTCGATCAAATTCCAACTTGACATCATTTATTGGGAGAAGAAGGCAAAGAACTACTTTCAATATCCGATCAAACAACTTTCTTGTCTATCACCACCATCTCCTTGAGACCCCTTCATTACCGCCTACTTCTATTATTGCCTTCTCTATCGCCACCTCTACTTGTATTACCGATTTTGTTAGTGTGTACTTCTACGACAGCTTCATCTCCTCGTCACTCGATATAATCGCATACATACGATTGAACTCCTCGGATAATATCTGATTCCAATTCCTGGTTCTGGATAGCCTCTCTCGAATTCGAACTTTCGATAATCACTGTCGTTTATCTCTCCCTCGCCCTTCTCGTTCTCGCCCACTTCTACAAAAGCTTAAATATTTCTATCGACCAACATAACTTCACAAATTGACACTTATTCGCAGTTATACCGAAGCTGGTTCTTTCGGAATATATTAATATTATCATTTTAATAATCTCCAGCTCTCTACGGATTAGAACTTGACGACGGTCTGGACTTCTGCAGTAGATTTCCTTCGACGAATCATAAATGCGGCTGAATAGTCACAAGATTCTAGTGGATTGCATCCGTTGAATACTTGGTGGCTAGAGGGCACTTCTTGTATCTCGGCACGCAGGTTAGCTCCTCTGGCTTACTTGGGCATGTATATTTGTTCGCTGCTAGGAATTGAATAATGTTGATTTCATCCACATTGGTATAGAATGAATAGAGAATTTGATGATTTCGAAGAGGATACATTATTAGGTAGATAGATGGATGGATGTATATTAATGCCAATAAACATTAGAATAATCTTAACATATTAATAACATACATCTCATACCATTTGATAAACCACTAGCTGAATCACTCTGTTTTGATAGATTGATACCTTCCTCTCAGCTACCCTGCGCATCACTTCCTAATGTTTACTTCCTTGGATCACTCAATCATAAGCTTATAATCAGCAAACATCCCATAAACCATTCGATTGAAAACCATCATCAAAAACCTCAATATATAGGTAACAAATAACTTAAAAACCCCATCTAGGATAGTTAATCACGAATAATATACCATCAAATTCACTACTCTGTACGGAGAAAATAAACGACGTTCATATATAGAAGCTAAACAGGTTGATGTTGAGCTGGAGCTCAGATCCCGATCCCATGAACCGGGATATCGGAAATAAAAACCGGGCTGACTGAGCTCGTGGTTGGTGCTCCATGGACCATGGTAAAAGCCGCCTTCCGATAGGTTGGGTTGGGGTTGGGTGGTCGGAGACGGCCGATGTAGGTTATGTAATATAAGTGAGATGTAATGTAATGTAATTGAGATGGAAGTGAGACGGAAGTAAATAATGTGATATCTTTATAGAAGTGGGATTGTTTGAATGAAATTTTGAGAAGTTTGTGTTTACTTTTGATTTTGGTTTTGGATTATTTTGATTGTTGGATTGGAAGATTGGAAGATTGGATATTAATACTTTCTGATTTGTGTTTGTGTTTCTGTTGAGCCAGAGCTTGAACAGTAAACAAGCTGAACAAACAAAACAACAAGACATCTTTCCATACCATAAAGATCCAACACCAACCAGCCAAAGAACATCCTAAATCTTACATTCCTCCTACTCAGCAATCAAGACATCTATAGCTATAGATACAGCTATAGCAAAACCCCCAAGATGCCTTCCTCTTCATCGCCACATAATCAGAAAAAACCACTCAAAAGACAAATTTTTCATGGAACTTTTATTCATTGTAGGAATTTGACGGAATTGCAAATTTGGAATTATACGTATGTTTTTGTGGATGAGAAGGGGGTTATTGTGAGGATTGTGAGGAGGGGGCGGGATGGTGATGATGGTGTGGTGGGTTTGAGAGAGAATGAGGGGAAAGGGAAATTGGGTTGGGAGGAGGTGAGAGGGGATGTGGAGGAATTGGGTTGGGATGGAGATGGAGATGGGGATGGGGATGGGGATTTGGGAAGAGATGGTGATTATGGGATTGAGTTTTTGAGTTCTTTAGGGGATGGGGAGGAAAGGTTTTTTTTTCCGGGGTTTATTGGTTAGTTCTATTTCTATTTTTCTGTTCCTTTTCTACTTCTACTTTTGGTTTTTGTTTCTTCGTTTGTTCATTCGAGGAGGGATATCATAAACATCTACGAAAAAGGAAAATGATATCACGATAATCCTCCCCACACCACTCTACTAACAAACCCCAGATACCCATATCCACGCCCCCCAATACCCCAACAGCGGACTCTTCGGATCCTCCACCCTCCTAAACTGGCTAAATACCTACACCTTCCCCCTCGAATCCTCATTCACTTCTCTCCCCAAGGCCCACACCATCTACTCACGCGTAATCCAACGTACACTATCACATGGAACAACAACCGCCGCCTATTACGCCACCATCCACATCGAAGCCACCAATCTGCTCGCGGATTTATGTTTACGATATGGTCAGAGAGCGCTCGTAGGAAGATGTTGCATGGATTCTTCCTCAGGAGCTAATCCCGATTATTACCGCGATGAAGATGCTACTCAGAGTTTACAGCGATCAAAAGAATGTATTCACCATTGCGAGAAAATTGATCCAGATAGAGATCTCGTGACGCCTATCCTAACACCAAGATTCGCACCTAGTTGTTCGCGAGAATTAATGACTTCTCTGGGTATATTAGCCACCGAAAAAGATCTCCCCATCCAAACGCATATTTCTGAGAATCGAGCAGAGATAAATTGGGTAGGGGAACTTTTTCCAGAATGTACTAATTATACTGCGGTGTATGATAAATATGGTTGTTTAACGCCCAAAACGATTCTTGCGCATGCGGTACATATTTCGGAGGAAGAAGCAGGTTTGATTAAGGAGAGGGGGAGCGGGATAGCACATTGTCCGATTTCGAACTCGGCGTTGACGAGTGGCATGGCGAGGGTGAGGTGGTTGTTGGATTGGGGGATTAATGTGGGCTTGGGGACGGATGTTAGTGGGGGGTTTAGTGCGAGTGTTTTGGTTGCGGCGAGGGAGGCGAGTTGTGTTAGTAGGTGTGTTGCGGCTGGGATTGGGGGGGTGGGGTTGGAGGGGGAGGGTGAAGGGGAGAAAAAGGGAAAAGGAAATGAAAGAGATTCATTAAGTGTACCAGAAGTTCTATATCTAGCTACGAGAGGCGGTGCAAAAGTAGTAGGAATGCAAGATTCAATCGGTGGGTTTGAAGTAGGTAAATTATGGGATGCGCAACTTGTGGGGTTGGGGAAACCGCTTATGAGGAGAAATAGTGAGGGGGAATGGGTGGGTGGGGTGAGCGGGAAGGAGGATAGGGAGGGAGGTGGGGAGGGTGAAAAGGGTGAGGATGAGGAGGATGAAGGAGAAGGAGAAGGGGAAAAAGAGGAAGCGAAATACACAGGACCAGTCGATATATTCGGCTGGGAAAATTGGGAAGAGAAAGTTGCAAAGTGGGTTTTTGGTGGGGATGATAGGAATACGGTGAGGGTTTGGGTTGGGGGGAGGTTGGTTTATCGGAGGAGGTAGGGAGGGATAGATTGTAGTGTTTTAGGTGGTAGATTGTAGGTTGGAATCTTAGATTATGGGATCTTTAAGAGCTATCAACTTTTTGGGACTCAGGAATTCAAGAATTCAAGATTCGAAAAATGAAGAGAAAAGAAATATGATAATGAACGGATGAATAGACAGATATATAAATGAAAATATCCATATCAAAGTCAATAATCCACCATCGCTATCCTACTCATCCCATCCATCCCAGTCAGAAAACACCCTCCATATTCAACATTCCAATGAATCCTTTTCTTCCAACCTAGTATTCAATTAAGATTATTACAAAAATTCGATAACAAACGCCTAATTCCCATTCCCATTCCCATTCCCCATTCCCCATTTACCTATCCATCCATCCAATAATTCCTCATACCTTCCCCCTCACCCAACAATCCGGCTTACCTTACATATCCTCCCTCTCATAATTCTCATAACCCGCATAATTTCCATACTCACCATAACTCCCAAAGCCCTCCCCCTCCCCACCCCCATCACCACCACCAGCAGCACAGAACTTACACTCCACGCCCACACTCTTCAAAATCAGCTCTGCCGCCTTCTCCGCCGCAGCCATAACCGCAAACTGCGGATTAACCGTCACAGGCGCAATAATACTCGCATCAACTACATGCAAATTTGTCGTTCCTACAACCTTCGTATCTACATCTACGCATTTCCCCAATCGACAACTACTACTCCAGTGATTCACCTGTCCGCGCGCATAGGCGGACCAAGTGGTAATATATGTTTCGATTTCCTCGCGGGTAGAATTTTGCGGGATATTGAGGGGCGTGAGACCCGCGGCTGGAAGAGCAGCGAATATATCGTGGATGAATTGGGATATATCCTGCGCGTCGCGCGGATGAGAGTAATAGACGCTGGAGCTAGAACCGGGAATGAAGTTATCGTCGAGGATGACGGAGCCCGTGGAGAGGAGTCCAGATGTACCGTACACGTTCAAAGTGATGCTGTGATCGGAGGTGTAGTCTGCGTAACCGGCTGTTCCGATGGTGCCTTGGACTCCGGCTTTGGTGCCGTCGGCGTGCGAGATGGTGGTCCAGAAGACGGAGGTTTCGGATGCGAAGGTGTAGGGACCGCTGCGGGAATTTAGGTACAGATCTCTGTCTTCTGGTGGGGGAGACTCGTAAGAATATTTGTAGGATTGGATGGAGTCGCCTTCGAGTACGATGAATGTGTTTGGGTTATCAAATAGGCCGGTTCCGATCTCTGAGCTGATTATCCATTCGTCACTTGTGAGGTTGGGGGAGAGTTTTCCTGCGGAGTTGAGTCTAGAGAGGGTTGCTAAATCACCGATTCCAGAGTGCATGAGGAGTGAAGGACTGATAATAGCTCCTGCTGACAATATTACTCTTCCTGTTGGTGTAACCGAAATAAATGTCTCGACACCATTAACTAGAGCTGTGACTCCCGTAGCTGTATCACCATGTCGCTCAACTCTTACTACGCGAACTCCATGTTGAAGACGGAAATTACTGCGCTGAAGAGAAGATTGGAGATAAGTAGTGACGGGACCTCCTCTCTCACCATCGGAATAGAAAAAGTTTGGGTATCCGAATACACCAGTTTTATCATCGGCTTTATCATTGATATCCACATCTTTGTAGCCTAATCCTTCGACTAGCCATTTTCTGGCGGCATTATATCCTGATTGAAGATAACGGATACCATCTTGAGAAGTAAGGCTTGTTGAAGGTTGTGTGTCGTATAAGCGCTGGATAGCGGCATCCATGTTCTGGGAGTTCCACTAGATGTGGGGTTAACACCTTGGTATATTGAAATTGCAAAGGCTTATTACTCACTTCCTCAGGGAAATACGTATCCCAATCGGAGGCCGGAGGCTCAAAGAATAGTCCAGCATTTATGGCTGAACCTCCTCCGATCGTACAACCCCCATAAGCATTTACCTGATCTGAACCGCACATGAGAATGTCCGCATTGGGATCCCCAAAGATTGTTGTGTAAAGTCCAGGTACATCCACTCTCGTAAGATTTGTACCTCTTAACCATCCCTATCAAGAATTAGAAACCACAAATCATTCTAACGAAGAAGTTAAACTCACCGGCCTCTGCATCAAATCTCCACCTGTACTCATAGGAAGTCCACCACTTTCAGTACAAAGTCTTAAGACCTGCTTCTGCAAGTCGTGAAGAAACTGTAACATACCAATTAACCAATGCACTTTTCTTTACACACAACTGAAATACATACCAATAATACCCCCCGGGCCAGATCCCACAACAATGATATCCCATTGCTCCTGAATCCATCTATTATCTTCCTGAGCCCAAACTGCACTTAGCAATCCAGCAAAAAGAGAAACATGATATGATATCTTCATGATGAATTCGACTTTGATTTTGAATGGTAAAAACGAATTAAACACAACACACAGCAAACAATGAAGAAAATCACCTACCTTTATATACACCTCACACATACTTACACCAACTCCTATCCTGCATGACTTCACACAAGACAACCTGAACTGGCTCACCTGAACACTGGGCGCCAAGTCCTATCGTTGAAGAAAAAATGCCCCTAAACGGTTTTTCTACAGTTATTCAAGAATCGCTGAAAATCTCATAGGCACATACTTTGGCTTCTAGAGAAATGTCGCATCCTATACGAGCTTCGGCATGCTAAGAGCCGTGCCATATGCCTATCACTTACCTAACTGCCCACATAAATCCAGTTTAAGTACCGTTGAAGCCTCATTAATTTTAGCTGAAAAATATGCAAATACCGTATTGATGCCGTACAACTTACTCGAAATGCTCCAGTATGGCGTATTTTCCCGTCTTTTGTGTGCTGATGCTTGCTGATGCGTTATACAAATGAAGTCATGAGCATTTCGTATTCCATGAGCTAGTGAGCCGGCTAGCGGAGGAGTAGAGGGTCTAAGTGGGGAGGATTGGCGTCGAAATCTGTT